CTGCTATGAATAGAACTTCAGCATCAGCTCTCGAAATTGAGAATGAACCTACTGTGCCATTCTATTCTCCAATAGTACGATTATTGGACTATGAATATAAACTTTGGTGATTGTAGGCATTTGATGAACTAAGACGGAAATATTAAAGGAAAGTCTAATCGCACTTTCACCTGAATTCCTTTGAATAGAGAGATATTTTTGTATAATTTTATTTATATTCACATGTAAAATGAACGATCTAGAAAATTCAATACAAAATTTAAAAATTCGTTTTAGCATGTTCTATTAAAATTCATATTTTTTACCCTCTATTACAAAGACCACAAGTGGATTTGCATTGGTTCGCGTACACTGCAGCATATGGTCCCACGCAGAGGTCTGGTCTCGAACCACAATTAACTCGTTCATCACGACATGTTACCGCCGATGCCAATGCTATTGGCGTAGTAGCTGTAGGCCAAATGATTAGCATCGGTTAAAATTCTGTTAAAATTAAAAAATTTTATCATGCATTTAAGTATTTTTGAGAAAAAATTATTTGGCGGAAATATATTGCAGCATCAAACTTCCCGTAAATAAATTGTAACATATTAACTTTATATAAACATATTGTGCCGTCAAAAAAACTAACATTTTAAGCAATCCAAGGAATGACATGATTCTTGACACAATGCTTTTATGGTATCGTTGCAACCCGTTAATCTTACCAAAATGTCGCATTCCTTCAGTATATTTGGGCATCGATTGCCAGCACCTGCCATATGGCAAAGGCCACAAGTTTGCGGGCACATTTTTAACAAAGTTTCAAATAAAGTTGGCATTTGGCACATTGCACGAGTGATTCCACTGCAATCCGCAACTACAATAAAATTGCCTTAAAGATTTTTTTATACTGGCTCATAATATACCAAAATATTTCCAAGAACATCGAATTTACGTTTTTCAAAATTACTTTTATAACATAACTAACTGTTGTTGCACCGATATTCTTTTGTTTTGCAACATAAGGCACATGAATGTGGACAAAGTTCTTCGGCAAGCTTTGGATATTTTTTGCAGTTTTCAGAGACTTTATAATGATCAAAATTGGCATCGCTTCTATGAATTTTCAAAATTAATATTTTCAGAAAGAGTTAATTGCAAATCAGTAGTTGCTCTCATTTTTGTGCATCGAAATTTAGGGTCTATTCCCAGCAGATTTAAGCTTGCCTTTTAAAATTTTAGATGTTCCAAATGACCACCTGCAGTTCTATTGCCAAATGAATCTCTGGCAAAATTTCTTTCGTGAAGCTATTTATGCAAATTTAATAAAAATTGCAAATCATTTCAAAAAGCAAAGTTACTTTATCTTATGATTACCCATATAAGTTTAGATGTAATAATGTAGAATAAATCATTTCTAAAAAATAAACACTTCTGTAAGAAAAGGGAAAGAAATTAATTGCCCGTTCAATGAAGTAAGAAATGAAGTAACAAATAAATAATACGCCCAAAATATTACGCTGAATTATCAATAAATATCAATATCAATAATACGTAATAATTGATTTCTTCAATAGGAATCCGGAAAAAAAGGCACGGGAACATGCGAAGAGCTCCAGGAAAGCCAAACGGCAATAAAAACTAAGAGTTGGAGTTAAGGAAAATGAAAAATTGTACTCACGGATTAGTATTCCTCTGAATTGCATAGTTGTTTTGGTCCGCAAGCATGAATAGTAGTGTGCAAGAATCGGCATCAAGATCGAGACAATTGCTCGGATCTATAGAGGGACGCTTTTTAATCATATTATCCGTCGTCTTCACCACATCCTTCACGCATTGAACGATCTCTTCATCGCCGCCACTTACTAAATGAATGAAGAGGAAATAATAGAGGCAAGTGAACATCTATAAAGCTCTGATTTAATTTGATTTAGCAATATTTGAATGCCCTATTTATACAGTTTTTTCCGAATAAATTGCCACAAATAATGGTAAGATTTTGAAATAACAGAATCAGCTTTTCAAACAAAAAGAGAGACAACCATTTTTGTAAATTTTTTTATTTTTTATAAATTTTTAATGAATAAATGAAAAAATTCATTAGTTACGATAGCATAAGGATTAATTTGAAATTTTGAAATATAAATTATAAATTTATATAAATTATTATTTAAGTCTTAAATTTCCTTAACTATGATAATCAATGCGGGTATTATTAAAAGACAACATGGAGTAATTGCCCTTCGTCCAGAAGGGATATAATTCTACGTAAATATAATATTTCATCTTATAAAAATAGGCAATAAAATATTATGTCGTTATTAAAATATTATTAAAATATCGTTGGAAGCAACAATATGCTTGAAGCTATCGGTTTTCTCTCTTGTATTTTGTAGCAATCTTAGACGAATTTTGCCATGGAGCCTATCTGCTGTTTAGAATGTTGGAGGAAATTCTTAGGGATGCGTGTATTCACGATAAAACTTGCATATATGCTGTTCATGTATATGCTGTTCAAAATTATTTGATATGCTGAGCTCGCTAGCTTGTCGGCCCAGAACAAATTTCGCCATAGGTGCAGTAGAAAATAGAATAGAAAAATGAATGCGTTGCCAGCATCATCCGAATTCTCGAGAGATAGTCTGGCGCTCGAGATTTAGTGGAAAAATTTGCGAAGTCGTTTTGCGCAAATTTTGAAAATTTTCGTGAATTTATCACCGCATTCAATCAAAATTTTCTAATTTTTTCTAAGCATCTCTTTCATTTTTATTATTGTATCAATTTATTCAATTTCATTAATTTTGAATTTTTCTTCTGATTTTTTTTCTCGATTTTTGGTAAAAATGTTTTTAAATGTAAAATATTTTTTAAAAAATAATTATAATTTGATTAATTAATTAAAGTTAAATTTAACTAATTAAAACCAAATAAATTAATTAAATTTAATCTAAATTAGTCTAAATTAAATAATTAAACTAAAAAACAAGTTGGCTTTTATTTTGATTCATTCATAAATATAATTTGAGAAATTAGAAATAATTTTTTAGAGAAATTTGAAAACTCTTACAACTTTTTTGTTTTATTCATCATTTATTGAATTGTTTAATTTTATTATTTGAAAATAGGATTCAGTATAAATTTTATTTCAAGATTTAAGCCTGTAAAAAATATATTTTTCTCCATTCCTCCATTACAAAAACTGCAAATGAATCTACACTGATTTGCATACACTGTTCCATATAGTCCAACGCAGAGGTCTTATCTCGAACGATTAATTAATTAATTAATTCGCTTATCTTGGCATGGTTCCAGTGGTACTTTCGGCGTGATAGCTGCAGGTAACAAATTAATAAAGGCAAACACCTAATAAATTTGAAAAATTTTAAAATAAAAACGAAAACTGCTTTATGAATAAAATATCATATAAAAGTATTTATTTATGAGCCTATTTTGCACATACACTCATTTGAAAAAAACAAACATTAGCATTAAATTCCACATGAATATTGTGATCTTAAAAGTAATTTACATTTTAAGCAATCCAAGGAATGACATGATTCTTGGCAGAATGCTTTAATGGTGTCGTTGCAACCCGCTAATCTTACCAAAATGTCACATTCCTTTAGTGTATTTGGGCATCTATTGCCAGCACCTGCCATATGGCAAAGGCCACAAGTTTGTGGGCACATTTTTAACAAAGCCTCAAATAAAGTCGGCGTTTGGCACATTGCGCGAGTGATTCCATTGCAGTCCGCAACTATATTTTAATAAAATTATTTTTAAAGCAGCTAATAATAAAATATTTATAAAAATATCTCATCAAAAGAATTCCTTAAAACAACTTACTGTTGTTGCATCGATATTCCTTTGTTTTACAGCACAAAGCACATGAATGTGGGCAAAGTTCTTCAGCAAGCTTTGGATATTTTTTGCAGTTTTCAGAGACTTTGTAATGGTCAAATTCGGCTGAGGCTCTACGATTTTTTATCGATAATACTTTCATATAGTGTTGGTAGCAAGTGTGCTGTTTATCACATTCCTTGGCGCCTACATTAGAGTCAAAACTTAAGTGAATCTTTCCCTTAAAATCCTGCTCATTGCTGTTACGCTTATGACAAATGATTCACTGGCAAAACTTATTTCCCAAGTCATTGATGTAAACCATAACAGAAACGATATTTTTCATAGGAAAAAAAATTTTTTTATGAATATTATTGCTATTTTGTATTCTTTCCCTACAATGCGTGTAGAATTGCAAATTTTTAAAGAATATTGCCGAATATTTGAATATTTTTTAAAAAATTGGAAAGTAGAAATATTGCAAATATTGTATGATCATGAATATTTTACTGAAGTGTGCTTGTTATGAATAGTTATTATAACTGCCTTTTCTCGAAAGAGACTTTTATAAACTCGTATCGAACGTTTGTTTAATAAAAAAGCTGCATTCTAGGTGAACCTAAAATTAGATTCAACAACGAGCAGTAATTGAGAGAAGGAATGCGAAACCACAAAAAAATTAACAAAAAAGCTGTAAAAGCGATTCGTGACAATAATAAGGAAAAATGCGAAATCGCACTTACGGATTATTATTTCGGTTAGTAACATGGTTGTTTGCCATCGCAAGTGCGAATATTGCAGTGCAAGAACCAGCATCAAGGTCAAGACAATTGCTCGGATCTATAGTGGGTCGTTTTTTAATTTCATTACCTCCTGACTTCAATACATCCTTCGCACATTGAACGATCACTTCATCGTCACCGCTAACTAAATATATAAGCAAAAAAAAGAAGAGGAAATTGAACATCGCAACTCAAAGGCTTTGATTTAGTTTGGTTAAACAATATTTGAATGTCCTTTTTATACAATTTTTTCAAAATCGCTTTAAATAATCAAATTTTAAAATTTCGAAATATAATGAAATTCGTTTTTTTTCGCTAACAAAAGAAATAACCTTTCATTTATTAATTATTTATTTTTCATTAATTTTTTCGGAACAAACGAAAATTATTTGTTCATTTGTGGTGATAACATATGGATTAGCGTAAAAATTTTTATTATAATATATATAATTTTTATTTTTATTATATCTAATTTTTATTAAATATTTTTAAGAAAAATTAAGTGAAATTTTGATTTATCAAAAGAAATTTAGGAATTCAAATTATTATTATTTCAGCATAATTAACATAAGCCAATTGCAAGTTTTTCAGGAAAGAAAGAGATGCTTTGGTTCTGGAAGAGGACCAACTCCATGTAAATATAATGAATAAGAACGAAATGAATAAATCATCTCATTAAAATATCGTTTAAATAATAATGCCTTTGCAAGCTGTTAAAATTTTATATTATTATTAATTATTATATTAATTTTATATTTAGATTTTATGAAATGAAATTTTTTTGTAAGTGTTTATTTTTATCCTAAAAGAATATTTGCAATTAATTGAGAGCGAACAGCAATAAAAAATTGCAAATTTTCGAAAAATAGTGAAAATTCCATTTTTTCAAATTTTCATATAAAGCAAATAAACGGCCTTTTAGAACCATTTTTAATTTTTGCATTCATTATTTTATTTATTTAATTGCAAATTTTATCGCAAAAAATTGAATGGTTCTTGCCAGGTCAATTTATTAAAATATAATTGGAAGCAATATTTTGCTTGCAACCATCGACTGAAGTTTTCATTCTTTTATTATGTATCAATTTTGAACGAATTTTGACATAGAATCCGCATGGCTTTCAAGTTGGTGCTTAGAAATAGTGGTACGTATCTCATGATGACCTCTTAGCGTGCCATATGGTAGCCTAAATTCAATTTAAATTCAATACGTTTACGGTAGCCTAAATTCAATTTTTCTACCAATGAGATTTCCATAAATTTTCTTCTGAAATCTGTTTAAACTCGCTGACTTGTGGGAGAGCAAATTTTGCCAAAGATGCCTTTGACGATTGAAAAAAGATTACATCACTCCAATTTCCTGTTGGTAGCCTGATGTTCCAAAATTAGTGTAACAATGGCGCTAAGTTAATGGCGACTTCCTCAAATTTTTATGTTTTCGTGAATTTATCACTGTATTAAAATTTTCCAATTTTTTCGAAGTGTTTCATATATTTTTATTATTAATTATTTTAAATCGTTCTTATGATAAATGAAAAAATTTTTTTGAGAGTCTCTTCTTGATTTTTGTTAAAATATTTTAAATTTTAAATTAAATTTTGCTGTTTGGCTATTAAATGCTGTTTGGCCACGGTCCGAAAAGATTTTAAACGCAAAGGTGGACCAGAAATATATGGTCTTAGGCGATGGAAAAAGGAATGGCTTTTATTACTGAAAGGGATGTGCCAACGATATTATCAGACCGCATCGCTGGAAGCGTCTTACCCTTGTAGCCGTCGGAGCCAGCCTGACCAGTAATGATGAAAGCTATTAGAAGAAGAAGAAGAAGCTATTTAGCAAAATGCATTAGCGGTTTGGTTTTCCTACCGATTCATATATTGCATAAAATTTATGCATTCGGTGATTTGAGCAATTCACTGAAGCCATTAGAAAGATATGATAATTTTTTAAAAGGAATGCAAATACAACTGGGTTCATTCCTAATTTCCGTAATTGACGAAGTTGTTCTTAGTGAACATGGAAGCTTATTCGTGAAGCTTTTATCTTTACAAGAAATCTTTATCTTTCAAAGAAATGATTGACAGAAAAAAGTGATGAAAAGCTGAATGGAATCAATTTTTTGAGAAAGTATTTAATCGAATGAAACGAATTTTTCTTAAACTTTTCATAAATTTTCTAAATTTTTCATTTAAAGAAAATTGAAGAACGCACTTTATTTTGTTCTATCATTAAATCATTAAATTTGAACGTTCCTCCAAGCCATGTGTATGTGTTTTTTCCTCCCTTTTTTTTGAGATATTTAAAATCTTTAGGGTTCGATTTAAATCATTAAATTTAGGCGTCCATTCTTATCATTTCATACTTTTGCTTGAGATGGCTCAAAGCTGAAAATACATCAGAAGGGCTTTAAATAATAAAAGCTTTAAAAGCATTTAAAATTAATTTTAAATAAAAAATAAAATAACAATTAAACGTTTAAATAAAAAAAATTTTCATCACATTATATTCATTTAATTTATTAAAATTGCTTTAAACGATTGCAAAACGGTTGATGAAATAAATGCTGAAATATTTTGATGTTTTGCATCGAAATTATTTTTTCAGCATTTTTTCTATAAAAATTTTTTTTTTTAAGTAAAATTGCATTAAAAAATTCTAAAAAATAAAAATGCTTCGGAATTGAATGTTCCTCCAAGCCACATTTTTTCCTTTTTTTCCTTTTTTCCTTTCTTTCTTTGAGATATTTAAAATCTTTAGAGTTCGATTCAAATTTTTTTTCGCAGGTACTGAGCCTATAAAAAATCATAAACTTTCATCCAGTATTACGGAGATCGCAAGTGAATTTACACCGGTTTGCGTATAAATAAGTACTTTTATTTTTAATGTTATTTGATGGAAAAAAAATTAAAAAATACATTACTTCAGCCATTTGAGGCTTCCGCTTAGCCAATTCAAATTTCCATGAAATAATGTCAAAATCGAAAATTTTTAAAGGAAAATGGGAATATATTGAAAACGTTATAAGAGAACATTTTTCATTTCTGTTCCATTTAGGTGAATATAAAAAATATGATGGAGAAATATTTTATAAAGCTCAGTGAATTGGTTATAACGGATGAAATATTAGTTCTTAAATTTTTTTTCTATTTTCAGATCTCGTACGTAATTAGTTTAAACGTTATTTGAAAGAGTTTTTTCAAATTGTAGAATTAAGTCGTCGATAGTATAAATACATTGCAGCTCTCACCAGTGCAATTATAGTCCAAAGTTTTGCAACATAAAGCACTTGGACAAAAATCTTCGGCAAGTCTCAGATATTTTTTCCGGTTATCCGCAACTTTATAACTTTTGAAATCGGCAAAACTTCTGCATTTTTTATGGTTGATTCTTATTTTATCAATGGAATGCCAAGATAACTCTTCGGATCTATAGTAGTGCGTTTTTTAATCTTCATGGGGATCGTGTTTCTTACCACCTCTTTTCACACTGGCCGATATCTTCACGAGCTGCTTGAATTTATCCTAAATTAACTAAACTTAAAAGGAGGAGAACTAAGAGAAAGGCGAACATCATTTAAGCAAAGTTTGGTTTAAAATGATTTCACAATGTCCGAGTCCTTCTTATACAAATTTTTCCAAAAAACTTTCTTCAAATAATAATTAAAATTGTGAAATACAACGAAATCATTTTTTAAGTGAAGAAACGAAAGAAATGGCATACATTTATTATTAAATTATTAAACATTAATTTAATTATTTCTTAAATTACAATTTATTATTTGTTCTTAAAATTTCATGTTATCATGAATTCTTATTTTCATAAGGATTTGAAAGATTTAAAGAATGATTAACAATGCTCTCATATAGGAAACATTAACGACTTGCCTGTACTTCTATCACGAATGGACTTTCTGGCATATTTGCGTTGTAGTCCGACAAGCCAGCGGAACGAATTTAATCAGTAATGATGAGTGCTTTAAAAAAAAAGAAGCAATGCTTCAAGTAGACCAAGTAGAATGGAGCAATTTTTAGACAAGAACAGATTTTTCTCCTTTTCCTACTGTTCAGAATATTATTATACTCAGACTTCTTACAATCTGCAAAATTATAAACGGTTGAAGCAGTTGGTTGAGAGTCAGAGAGTGATAAGATAATGCAATTACTCATGTAAATGGGTGATAATTTTATAAGGATCAAATATCCAAATATGAACGAATTGAATCAAATCAAGAAGCGTTTCAAATCAGTGGTTTGAAAACAAATTATTTTTTCATTATCAAATAATATGAAGCTAATAGCTAATAAATATTCTATTTAATAATTTAATTTATTTTAATTTGAGTAAATCGAAAGCGGTTGAAGTCGAAATCGAAAATTAACGTATTTTGTATTTTGTAATTTTTTAAAATTTTAATGGCTTCCTGAATGTCAATTGATGAACTGATGTGTTTTCAATGAAGCTGATCATAACATTACTGAATACTGTTTGGTAAGGTAAATTTACGATATAATGATAAGATAATAATAAGATAAAAAAACGATATATAAAAGATATACTGATATACCATTTTCGAGATTAAAGCACAGATTTTTGTATTGTCGGACTTTTGTATTGTATTGTTTTGTGTTTTATAGGTAATTAAAATTTTTTAAAGCAATAAATATAAAATATTTTTGAATATTTTAAAATAGTGGTCCTTCAAAAAAAAAATTTTCTTTATAAAAAATAAATTTGAATAAATTTTTGTATCGAATTCTTTTGACGAAAACAAAGCAAAATAATAGCCAAGCGAATGATATAAGCAGAAATAATAAAGAAATGACACGAAATAGTACTTATTTTAAAAAAAGGACAAAGGAGACAAAGGACTATTGAAAAATCTGAACTTCACTTAGAATTTCAACTATCATTGGGAATAACCGTGGAGTATCTCTATTTTCTGATAAGTACCATAAATTTCAAAATTGTATCGAATTACACTTAGGC